CTGCGCCCCCCCCTCCCCCCCGCCACCATCAGGCGACACCTCCACAGCCTTGACCTTCCTGCCTGGACCCCTGCCTCAGCTCAGCCAGCCCCAGGCAGAGACGGAGTGACAAGGATTTTTCACCGTTTGTTTAGGAGAATCAAGAGTCAGCATCACAAAGGCTGATGAGACACCCTCTTAGTGCAAGACAACCTCCACTCCCTGGGTATGGGACACCCCCTTGGCTTAGGGCAACCCAGCCACCCCAGGTGTGGGAGCTGCGTGGCCTTGGACAAGTCTCCCTCTTGCTTCAAGGGGACCCAGCCATCCTGAGTATGGGCACCTGTTGGGGCGGGGCGGCCACAGCAACGATGCGGACACACGACGAGGACACACGGTGTCCTTGACTGCAGGGCCTCCGTGAAAGGCGTCCTGAGAAGACCAGGGCGTCCAGGAGGCCTAGACTCGTCGGGGCGGGACTGGGGAGGTGGGATGGCAGCAGCCGCCCAAGACAAGAGCTTTGGTCGTTATCGTTCCTGCAGGCGTCAGGTGGCTCCTCTCCTAAGAGCTCTGGGTGTGCATTCCGCAATTCAAAACTACTTCCGCCGCAGACCTTGCTAGCAGCCTTCGTGAACGAGGCTGCCGGCCGTGGGAGCGCTTCGTGCACAGGCCTCCCAGCTCGCAGCCGGGGTCCTGACGCTGTCCGGAGTGGACGCCAGACTTGCTCACCACCCTCTTTCCTTTCTGCAGAGCACCTGCTCCAGCCGTGGGGGTGCAGGGTGAGCTCAGTGCAGTCACCATGCCGAGCACGGGCTGTGTCCCTGCGCTGGCATGTGCGGGGACAGGAAGGCCGCAGACTCTTCTCGCGATTCTTCCCTCGGCAGCCCCCACCCCCTCGTCCCTCCATCCTGCGCCGTGTATCCAGTCGCGCTGTCCCACGCTGGCCGGAATCTGGGGACGGGTCAGACCCACTGGACGGATCGTCCCCACAAAGGCTGGTGGGAGCTTGGAGACACCGTGTGGACGCTGCATCCCGGGTTGCGGAGGCAAAATAGCAGTGGGCCCTGCTGGGAAGAGGGGACGGCATCCTGGGGGCTCTGCTCACCTCACCATCTCCGGAGAAGATGAAGGGTCATGTACCAGGTCAGCAGGGCACGGGGTCTGTGGGCACAAACAACGAAAAGACGGGGGTCGGTGTATACGTGGGTCTCCGTGGGCTCCGGCAGAGGTGTGCGGACCTGCCCAAGGCCACGCAGCTCTTGCTGCTTCGTGATAGGAAGCTCTTCAATAGTGAGTTCGAGCCAGGACCCCTTCGGTCGTAAGTGACACAGAAACACAGCGTAAATGGACGTAAGCGAGAAATCAGGAGTTGAGAGGAATTTCTCAGTCCCGTGGATCTGCAGAGTGTAGGCCGTGCTGGCTCTACACGTGGCTGGATGCAGGGGCTCAGAGGACGTGATCAGGAGCCCCAGCTCCACCCTCCCTCCCTCTGGTGGGCTGTCCTCACCGGGCGGCCTTCCGGGGCTCCCGGGGGGCGTCCATCAGCCGAGTCCTAGCGGAAGGAAGCCTGCTCCCCGATAGTTCAGCACAGACCCCGCTGGCCTGGCTTGGGTCTGTGTCCATCTCTGAACCAGGCGCTGTGGTCAGGGAGACAGAGGCTTCTGATGGGCCAGGAGGGCGTGCTGTACCCACCCTGCATTGAGGGACAATGCCACCGGACCTCGAGGACCGAGATGGGGAAGGGTGGGTACCCAAGAGGGGCATCAAAGTGCTACTATCAGAGAAAGACAGGAACGCGGGTCGGACATGCACAGAATAGTGTGTTTCGTGGTCTGTGGTCCACGCTGACTCAGCCAGCTTCTGGGGGTGTCCTTTACGGGGCTGAACAGTAAGCCTATGACCTGTGGGAAGGCTCCTACTTACACGGAAAAAGCCAGAGCCCTCTGATGGGTCTGCAGCGTGGGCCCAACACTTGAGTGGTAGAGAAGTATTTATGTCAGTGCCAAATGGGAGCTGGAATGATAAGGTGTGGCATGTATTTCAACGAGACTTCTCGAAATGTCAGGCTGTGAGTAACTTCTGTGAAAAATTAATCACGGACAGAATCTTTGTAGCCAACAGATACATGCTCGAGTCTTCTATATCCTGATTAAGGCACAAAAAGAACATGGGCTTGTGAATTTGGTTAAGAAAAGTTTCGAACTTGTGGGAGGCGCCCCATGGGCGCTATGGTGGGAAGTGCAGTGTCACTGAGGAGCAAAGGCCCTGGGGTCAGCTGAGAGGTGGGGAGCATGGACGGAAAAGAAACCTACCTTTTGGGAATGCTGGCTCTGGCCCAGCCACTTCATACGAAGTATCTCGTTCTTTATAACCGTCCTGTTGGGGGCGCCTGGGTGGCGCAGTCGGTTAAGCGTCCGACTTCAGCCAGGTCACGATCTCGTGGTCCGTGAGTTCGAGCCCCGCGTCGGGCTCTGGGCTGATGGCTCAGAGCCTGGAGCCTGTTTCCGATTCTGTGTCTCCCTCTCTCTCTGCCCCTCCCCCGTTCATGCTCTGTCTCTCTCTGTCCCAAAAATAAATAAACGTTGAAAAAAAAAATTTTTTTATAACCGTCCTGTTGGATGGATATTAACGATTAGGTTGAAAATGACTGGCTAGGTCACACAGCACTTCGACGTTGAAGGCACAGTCACACGCAGGTTAGATTTCTCTCCACGCCAGACTCCTGCCCTGGGAGCCTGCAGGCTTTGTGTTCTCCTGTTCTAGGCCAGAGAGCGCATCCAGGGGCTGGAGGGGCTGGGACAACAGCCAGAAGGGAGAAGTGACCTTGCTGGCTGGCTCAGGAGACGCCAGGGTCCTGGCCGCGAGGGCAGGCAGGGTGGGCGTGCTGAGGCCATTGCTGGCAGGGTCCCCGGGGACCTCAGGGAGGAAGTCCAGTCCGAACTCCTCAGGGAGGGTATTTTCCAACCGCCCACCAGGAGGGCGATGGTGTGTGTCCCTTAGCGTGAGGTCTTGAGAAGAAGCCTCCCCTGTTGGAGCTGTGTCCTCAGTCCCCTGTGCCTCTCTGCCTTTGAACCTGCGGGCCGTGTTGGCTCAGACCCCTGTCGCATCCCCCCGGAGTCCTGTGGCCCGTGGACTCGGGTGCCCGGAGTGCAGCAGCCTGTGGCCTTGGCTGACACAGGCAGAGCTGGGAAAGGCCTGGATGAACCAATCAGGAAGGCTGGTCATCGGGTGTTGTTACTGGGGACCATTTTTCTTTCCCTTCATTCTGCCTCCTGTTTCCAGAAACATCTAGAGAGTGAGGAGGCTGTCGTGTCTAATAAGCACCTGCTCTGAAGGCAGCAGTGCTGCGGCCGCATCCCGCAAGCTACTGCGAGGTGTCTTATGCCTGCCAAGGTGGGATGCGGGGTGAATGGAGGTGGGAGAGGAGCCGGACATGGGCCCCCGAATATCGGTTGTGGAAATCAAAGACAGGCACTGGTAAAAAAGGATTTGTTTTTAAACTTCTTATTGTCATGCTGCCGACTGCGGGTAAGGTTGCGGTGACGTTGGTATAGTTCCACGACGCTGTGTAACTTGGGGTAACTTTTTGGAGACTAGGCTGCAGCGTGAGCCGTATCTGTTTGGGCCTTGGGCCTAGGATTCAACTGAAAGGCCTGTGCCAGGAGAGTAACCCCCAAAGGAAACACATACACGGAGTGGTTTGTGGCACCGTTTCATAAAATTAGGGAGTACTGGGAATAACGTAAGGGCCCAGTGGAGTGGAGGGGCCCGGCACCCTGGGCATGTTCTTCCGACCGGATCTCTGAACTGTGGCAATGCTGGATTTCACCACAGGGTAACACGGGAGATCGGTTACGATTCACTGTTGTAAATGCGTATATGTCAAAATGTGCGTGCACAGATTGTGACCCCCAAAAGTCGGGTGTATGTAGACGACAGTCTTGGAAAACATGGATTTGGAGTGTTTATTGGGGCACAGGTGTTTATCTGGGTCAGGGGCTTTCCCGCTGGAGCCCTGGGATCTTTCTGGAGCCCCAGTTCAAGCAGGCCTGCCCTCAGGCGTGGCGGTGGGACTGGGGTCAGGGCCCCCATGTCCTTCCGGCCGCTCTGAGCCGCTGCTGAAGAGCCCCGTCCGTGGCAGGTTTGCTGTCCGTGCTGTCTGCATCCTGGATGGCAGCTTTCTGGAGTGTTCTCTCCACGTCTGGCCTGGATTTCCACAGAGCTACCCCGGGTCTGAGCACATTCTCGCAGTCCCCTCCACTCCCAATGAGCGACAAGGACCGGCCTCGTGACGTTCTGTCTGCTTCTCTTCTGTGCTAAAGGGCCCGTGAAGGGGGATGTGGAAATGCCCTTTGAGGAAGTCCTGGACAAGGCCAAGGCGGGGGACCCCAAGGCACAGACGGAGGTGAGGACGGCATGTGGGTGGGAGGCTCAGGCCTCGGCCCCACCACGTGG